TAAGTGGGGTAGCAACCCATGATGGAGCGTACATGAGAAGCTGGACGTTAGTGTACGCTTCATCCCGGCGGGTGAGTAGGATCTTAGGCTACGCAAGTCGTCCCTGAACTTATTGTGGTGAAAATGACCTCCCAGGAGGAAAGTAGCCTGTACCGCGGGACTTCGGAGATGATATATTGGGTAGTCGGGGGACGTCTGGGTGTTTACTAGGCAGAGCGCCCGGCACAAGACTGGGTACCTACGCCAGGAGGTGTGGACGTGGATCTAGACTACGAGCCTATGTTGGAGGCGCTATTTAGCGTCGGTGAGCCGGCAAAAGAACTGAAAGGAACCACAACCCCCGCCGGACACTCGGATTGGGAAGGCCGAGTATTCCGTATACCTTCCTGAAAAAACACGAAAAACAAGTGGCCACGGTCCAGTTGCCGTAGAGATCATGAGGATGGTGAAGAAGCTTGGAGGATGGAAGCAGAAACTGTGGAAGGGAGACAAGTTGGAGCTGCTGCTGTTTGGGATCCCAAGGGACATGACGAGCATAGAGTTGAACTGTTGTGACAGGGAGGGACTGAANAGAGTTCAAGAACTGTTGTGACAGGGAGGGACTGCACTGCCTAGCACGGGGACAAGTAGGCAGAGAACATGAACACTTCCGGGTGAAATTGACCAAGGGAGACAGCCAAGAGTGCTTGGGGGTTGATATCGAGAAGCTGTCGAACTACGTAAGGAAGTTTGGATGGAGGGTTTGCATCGCGAACATGATAGAAACAGAGAAGGTATGGAGACAAGAGGCGAGGGCGATGGAGGCGAAGAAGGGACCGAGCGGGGAGCGAGCAGGCAAGTCAGAAGAACGCCGAGAAGAAGCGGAAGGCGAACGATAGAGTGCGCAAATCTCCATTAGGGAAAGCANTCGCGAACATGATAGAAACAGAGAAGGTATGGAGACAAGAGGCGAGGGCGATGGAGGCGAAGAAGGGACCGAGCGGGGAAGTCGAACAAGCAAGTCAGAAGAAGTCCGAGAAGAAGCGGAAGGCGAACGATGGTGTGCGCAAAATCTCCAATAGGGAAAAGCGCAAGCTGAGAGTCGGGTCGTGGAACGTGTGCGGGTTCGCAAGGAGTGAGCGCAAGCGGTTGGAAATAGTGGACCAAGTAGAACATAGCGATCTAGATGTAGTGGGGATCCAAGAGACGTGGGAATTGAAGGATGGGGACGTGGTAAGCAAACTAGGGAAATACCGGTGGGTAGGGAAGGCAAGAAAGGGCTTAGACCCGAAGAAAAGGGGGGAGGGGGGAGTCGGATTCCTGGTCAAGGAACACTTGTTTGACGTGGTGGAAGTAGTGGTGAAAACGGAGTTCGAGGAAAGCCTGTGGCTTGAGATACCTGGGGAGCGGGGTGAGAAGGATTTGTTTCTAGGGAACGTATACGTCCCACCGTCGTCGAAGAAAGTCGCAAGCATGGTGCAGGAGAACTTTGGACAAATTGGGGAAGATGTCCAGAGGTTCAGTAGGAAGGGAGAAGTTGCCATGGTGGGCGATTTCAACTCCAGATAAGGGAAGCTTCCAGTAGAGGGCAGGCGATTGGGCAGCACGGACAAGACAAAGTGAATGACAAAGGAGTGAGGACGCTTGAATTCATGGGAAGCAACGAGCTGATGGTGTTGAACGGTAGGAGGGAAAGCGATAAGCCGGAGTTCACCAGGCAACGTGCAATTTACAATGAATACTCGGATCCTCGACTACATCCTGGTAGATAGGGGGAGCACGCAGATCCCAGAGCTGTACGTAAGTACGAGACAGGGTGATTGAAGGGTGGGAGTCCATTGTAAACACAACGGCAGCGAGAGTAGTGGAAATGAAGGTGGCACGATGTGGGGTATCGGTTAAGTGGTGGGATGACGAGCTGAAAGAAGGAATAGGGGAGCGTAGAGAAGTCTTCAAACAGTACCTGAGTGAGGCGCTGAGGAGAGTTGGGAAAAGCACAGGGCCGAGAGGAAACAGGTGAAGGGACTAGTGGAAAAGAAGAAAAAGTGCATTTGGGACGAAGTAGTGCAGAAGGCCAACGGAGGCCTGGAGGGAAACGTCAAGCAGATGTGGGAAGGGATTAGTGGAATGGTAAAAAAGACCGCGCAAGGGGGGGATACAGGGGTAGCAACTTTGCGAGGTGTGAACGGTGGATTAGTCAGCAGTGGGAAGGGAAAAAGGGAAGTTCTAGCAGGACACTACAAGAGACTTGGAGTGCCCTCGGAGAATGAAGCTTTTGACCAAGTGTTTAAGAAGGAGGTGGACGCATGGGCCCAAAAAGAAGAAGAGACATCGAAGGCAGACGTTGGGAACGTAGAACTAGAAAAGGAGTTCACTGAGGACGAGGTTGAGGCGTGTGTGAACAAGCTTAAGTGCCACAAAGCAGCAGGAGCGGATGGGACAGACACNGTGCCCTCGGAGAATGAACCTTTTGACCAAGTGTTTAAGAAGGAGGTGGACACA